AAAATAAATAGATAAACAAGTAAATGATACATAATTAATAGGTAAACAAATAAAATGGTCTAGATAAAAACTATAACAACAAACAACAATTACTGCTATTACTACTAACCTAACTTCTTCTCATCAAATAATGCTAGCGTGGTTAATGTTCAGGTGAAATAAACTGAGGTGGAGATTGTTCAGGTGATCCGATAAAGGAAGCTAAAGTTAATTCAATTGTTTTTTTTTTACACCCTTTGACCTTGACCAGTGTCAGTGACCTTCGAACCCAACGTAAATATTATCATGACCTCTACTGCAGATATTAAGGTAACAGGTCAGCCCGTTTAAAAGTTAAGAGCGGACACAGACACATACAGACAGACAGACAGACACGAGCGACCCTTCGATAACAGCCTGTAACGATGGATACCGGTATATACAGACTGACAAACGAACTGATATACGGCCACATGGAGGAGACACAAATAAAGCTCAATTACACCAACACAAAACAACAAAAGAGTATCTCACTCCTGACTAAGCTCTGGAGTGCCTAAAGTTTGTACATTAAATTTTACCCCAACTGGAGGCGCGAGAATTCATCTGACTTCCTCACTTATGTAAGTTTCTGCACAAAGATGGCCGCCAAACTAACGTCGCAGTACTTCCTCTCATCTCAGTTATAGGGTAAATAAAAGTCAACGTAATCTGCTTTGAGAATCCTGACTCCAGTTCCCGAAAAAAAGAAAAATTATTCTTTCCGTTGATAATCTCTGCCGCTTTTCATGTCGAGATGAAGACATTACCTTTGTGTTTCCGTCACCACCTCAGTATTACTTTGTGTTTTTTGTGTATTTAAATAACTGTTTTGTTTTACTTCTTTTGAATGTGTTTTAGTATTTACGGGTATGTTATCAATCCATTTATTCATGTATTTTGTGGGGTGCGTTTTTATATCCATTAATACCGGTATTGTATACGGTACCAGTGGAGAGCTTAATCAAGAGTACGTATGTGTGTGTGTGTGTGAGTAAATATTAAAATAAAACAAGATTCCAACAACTTCACTCTCTGCCTCCTTCATCCCCCGCCTCTCCTTTCCCCTCCCCTCTCACTCCTTCATTTCTCTAGCTCCCCCTCTCACCCCTACCTCCCCTCGCCATCCCTCCCACTCACCCTCTACTTCCCCCACTAATCCCCTGAGCGCACGGTAAGTCACAGGCCACATAAAAAAATGAGAACAGTGACTTAGGTTATACAAGACATGAGTTAATGTACACATACGACACGAAGATATTTAGGAAGGTAGCAAGTCAGGATGATGTCTCAGCAATACAGGAAGACCTGAATGAGCTGTTCAAATGGCCTCAAGACTGGCAAATGCTCTTTAACATTACGGAATGTAAAACCTTACACGTAGGATACATCAACCCTAGCATAGTTATTCTTTTAATACCTTTCCTGAATGCTGTCAAGAAGGAGAAAGATCTTGGCGTTTTTATAGACCAATCACTGAAGACGGCGCAACAAGTGAGGAAAGCAAATCAAGATTTGGGACTTATAAAGCGTATCTTTGAATACAAAGACAAGAAATTGCTCCTTCAACTGACAAATCTCAAGTATGTCCCAGTCTGGATTAGTACATACAGGCATGGGAACTCTACCTCCAGAAAGACATGACATCCCTAGAAAAGGTGCAACACAAAGCGACTGAAATGATTCCGGAACAATGTCGTCTAGATTATTTAAGTAGACTGCAGGCCTTAGGACTAACAACCCTTCAGTCAAGGCACAATTGCGCAGATCTCATTGAAACATTAAAAATCCTGAAAGTGATGGAAAATGTGAACCCGGACCATTTCTTTGAGATGTCACGCACCGCCAACATGAGAGGACATAACTACAAGTCCGTCAAGCTATCATGCAGAGCTAATTTGAGAAAATACTTTTTCACAAAGAGGCTGGTAGACTTATGGAACAGTCTACCGGCCCAAGCCTGGAGTAAATAACAGTACTGGGCCACAAAATAGCCCTTGACAAAATTATCAAGAACAATGGAGGAATCCTACCCAAGCCACTGGCCTCCTGTCTTTGCCATGGCCACGTCTAGTGGGTGGGCCATTAGGTAAATAAGGTAAATATTCATATGCTCCTACACACACACACACACACAGTCACCCAACGACCTGAAATTTAAATACTAATGTCTTGATTTCCATAACTAATTACCTTAATACTCATTATTCTCCCCAGACAACTAATTAGCTAACGGCATTAGTGATTACCAGCCAAACTAAGATAATATACCAGCACTAGTTCTTTATGGTAAATTAATCAGAATTAGCATCACTTAATGGACATTTTTTAATTCGGTCTGGTCAGGTGAAGATTAGGCACCCCACTTAATTTTACGTGATGAATGAACACCATCACGCTATCTGGGGGATAATGTTATGTTATGTTATGTTATGTTACGTTATATAGGAATATTATCGTGGTGGTGGTTAACGATGAGTTGCGTTAAGTTAAGGTAGGTTAGCTAGTATTAGGTTGGGTTAGGTTAGGTTAGGTTACGTTAGCTAGAATGGGTTAGGTTGAGTTAGTTAGGGTTAGGTTACAATACGTTAGTTAAAGTTACGTAAGTTTGTGTTACGTTAATTAAATTAGGTTAGTTTACATTAGTTAGGGTTAAGCTAAGTTATAATAGTTTAAGTTAGGTTAGGTTAGGTTCTATAATTACTTGATGTGTATTTAACCAAATTCTAACCTATCCTGACCTATGTGACTGATGAAGTTTTTTTTCTTTTAAGCGTGAGGGATCTTTTCACTTGTGTACGACCTGTCAGTAAGCGCTAGATTGAGTTGTGTGGGAATGATATAAAGGTCGCCACTGTGTCGAGGTTGACGACAATATGAAAGTTTAAAGTTGAATTTCCACTAAAAGCAGAACCACAGACGAACCTGACCAAACCTACCATAACCTATCCTAACTTTAACTTAACCTTAACTTAACGTAGCCTAACCTACGTTAAGTTAGACCTGACCTCACCTAATCTAACCAGACCTAACTTAACCTAATCTAACCAGACCTGACCATACCTAATCTAACCAGACCTAACTTAACCTAATCTAACCAGACCTGACCATACCTAATCTAACCAGACCTAACTTAACCTAATCTAACCAGACCTGACCTCACGTAACCTAACCAGATCTGACCTCACCTAATCTAACTATAGATGGTGCTGTACAGCTGTAGTGTCTCATTTGGGTTTGACACAGTTTCGACCCGAGGAAGGAAGGAAGGAAGGTGCGTGTGTTAATGAGGACAGGTGGAGGGGTGAGAGGGACAGGTGGAGGGGTGTGAGAGGGACAGGTGGACGGGTGGGAGAGACAGGTGGACGGGTGTGAGGGACAGGTGGGGGTGTAAGATGGACAGGTGAGAGGGACAGGGGGGGTGTGAGAGGGACAGGTGGAGGGTGTGAGGGACAGGTGGGGCAGGTGGAGGGACAGGTGGAGGACGGTGTGAGGGACAGGGACAGGTGGAGGGGTGAGAGGGACAGATGGACGGGTGAGGGACAGGTGGGGGTGTGAGAGGGACAGGTGGAGGGTGTGAGGGACAGGTGGGGGTGTGAGGGACAGGTGGGGGGTGTGGAGGGACAGGTGGACGGGTATGAGGGACAGGTGGAGGGGTGTGCCGGTGTGGGTTAATACTTGCCCTCCCTTCATCCGTTCACATACCTTGGGCACTCCTCTTACCCTCCCTCCTCCTTCTCCCCCTCCTTCTCCTTCCCCCCCCCCCCTTCCTAGGACCAGGTGTTAAATACATTATGATAATTTTACACCTTATTATAAAGTCACTTGTCCGGCTACATGGTGACTCACGCCGCCTGGACTGTCAGGTTCACAGAAATCAGGTAGACAGACACACAGACAGAGGAGTAAAATAATAGACATAAATACATGTATACAGACATGAATGTATACAAAGAGATATAAGGATACACATACACTCTCTCATTGACACTCAAGGACATACATGATTCTAAACAATGAAACATACATCACTGTATATACACTGATACTCAGACAAACATCCACATACATAATATTAACAATGAAAGAGACACATGAATATACACATACTCAAAAACACAAAGCAACACACACACACACACACACACACAGCCCCAAATACGGCACGTAAGCCATAAAATGTGGCCTAGTTTAAAATTGTACCTATCAATTTTAAAGAGAGAACTATTGCTTGATCTATTAATTGTATTCTTTATCTTTTCAATGTGATTACATGTTAAGACTTGATTATCACTTCATTCTCAAATCAACAATTTTACTAATTTTGTCACAAAGACAGATTTCAAGTACGTATAACTAATTTACGTGTGTAGTCGGTATTATTGTATCCCATGTAACGCTTATGAACGTGCAAAGTGTGTACACCGAACACGGCAGGTTTTCCTCGGGCACTGTACTCCTGTATCCTCTTGTACTGTACTAACACTGGACCCTTGGGGGATGATGGCCCCCACTAAACCTCTAAAGTTCCCAGTTGGTCATGACTGATCAGCATCACCCACTGCAAATATATCAATCAATCAATCAAGTAATCGATCGATCAACTCTCGCCTATAACACAACACTTCACCACAAAAAATATATGCTGCAATTAGCCGAACAAGTATATCAGATTGCATTAACGTGTTCACGATGCATCAATTTGTATAAATTTGGACACGCGACACTGTGTGAGCCTGACTCACCACTGTGACCTCACACCTTCACTGTTGGTGCTCACTCACCCTCCTCGTTCTAAAAACTGAATAACTTACTCGCTGGGAATAACAAAGGAGAATATAACCTGTAATTACACGAGGTAAAAAAGACCTTAAGGCAGAAGAGGCGAGAGTGACCCCCCCCCCCGCGAGGAGTGAAGGCAAGAGAGGATAGGGAGGGAGGGGGGGAGAAAGAGACAGGGAGAGCAGTGGTATGGTACTCACCGCGACGAGTGTGGACACAGACTGAGGTGCTGGTCCTGGTGGCACTACTGAAGGGGCTCACCGCCACGTGAGTACGCCACTCAGTCCTCCTGGTCTACTATGGTGGTGCAGGTTGTGGTAGGAGGGGTAGGTTGTGGTGGTAAGGAGCAGGTTGTGGTAGGAGGGGTAGGTTGTGATGGTAATGATATGTTGTAATGATGTTGGGTAGATCTGGGTATTGAGGTAGGTTGTGGTGGTAAGGATAGGTTGTGGTGATGGGGGTAGGTTGTGGAGGTGAGGGTAGGTTGTGGTGGTAAGGATAGGTTGTGGTGATGGGGGTTCGTTGTCGTGGTAGGGGTAAGTTGTGGTGGTGGAGGTAGGTTGCGGTGGTGGGGGTTGAAGAGGTGTTAACAGTGATGGTGGTATGTCGTGATAATGATAGTGACACTGATGATGATGATGATGATGATGGTAGCAGATAGTGTGGGAGTTATCTTAATATAAACTTTGAACACTATAGACTATACGTTCATCTATTTATTTTGTCGAGATGTAAGGCGTTTGAGGTGAGAATTGTGGAGCGTACAGTTGACCGAGGTGTGTCCCTGGTGGTGAAGCCTTAGTAGGGAGAGAGTGGTGTGAGTGGCCTCTACCATAACAACGTGTTGCACGAGAGCGGGATATTACCCTTCTCTCTCTCTCTCTCTCTCGTGTTATTGTTTCCATCCAGATATCATGAATTATAGTTAGGTGCTCAGTGGAATATATATTACATCGTAGTTGTATACATCACACTGTCCTCCCTCTCCCCTCTCTTTATATGTCGGTAATTTTTACCTAAGAGCGTAAGCATAACCTAAGCTGATCATATCTGAGTAATTGTTAACTTCAAAATTTTTATAAGTGTAATCAAAGTTTTCTTCGCTGAAGTGAGTAATTTATATTGTTTCATTTTTATGAATTTGTCAACTTATCATCAGTGTTTATGTCAGCCGTTTTATGTTGCCTCTTACACTTCGCCAAGTACCAGGCCTGTCATTAGGAGGAGGGATATCTGGTCAGGGAGAGAAGAGGTGTTGGTAACGGCTGGGGACCTGTAGGAGGAGGTCATAGGGCAAGTGAGGATGTAGTGAGAGTGGGTGTGACAGGCCTGGTACTTGACATTATTAGGGACCTGCCACACTTTGCCATAAACAGATAAATTGTACCGGGAATTTTCCCCCCACACACTCATCATTCTGTCACGTTATGTAACTTGTTGACAAAACCCATGACCCTTCAGGCTTTCACGCCCTTAATGCATGAATCATAAAGGCAAGCATGAACTCTGCATGCTTCCCAGTTGGGCACTGTAAATGCTTCTGCGCTTCACCTTGCACAGGATGTAAGGGGGTGCCCAATAAACTAGCCCCTTCGTGGGCAATCTGTAATCTGTAATCTGAGAGGGTAGCCGGGGGTGGTGTCCTTAAGTCCAATAGGTAGCCCTGGTGGAGACAGCACAGACACAGTAGCGGGCGCGGCTTGCGGTGGGTGGAGGACAGGTTGCGGCACCACGTGCCGTGAAGATGAGGCAGGACTTCGCTCAGGGGCAGCAGGACACACCAGGGCAGGCCCGGTAGGCACTACACCAGTAATGAAGGCCGCCGGAGGTGGCGTAGGGGGGGCTCACAGGGGGACTACCAGCTTGTGTCAAACCAGAAGAGAGGAGTGACTGGGTGGCAACAGAGGGCAAGAGTAGGTCGGAAATGGTGGTACAGAGTGTAGCGAAGAGTTTTTCAATACGGTTGGTAAATTCTTGGAAGAGGGATATGATCTGTGTCATGTCACTGGAGGGGGGGTTGTGGGGCACCAGTTTGCCTATTCTGAGTTGAGTAATTCAGTCAAGTCTTGACACTGAGAGTGTATCACTTCTCACTGCCACGCAGGACAGCTGATGAGGGGTTGGCCGCGCATGGTGTAATGTCACCATTAGCCAAGTCATCACTGAGACGCACTTGAGAACAAAGGGCGTGACACAAGCCCGTGACAACACCACGAGTTCTTCTGTAACCCATTACAAGAGTCAATAGTTAGTCCTAAGTCAATGTTTTAATACGTCTTATTTTAACTCTGAGTTGTCTTTGGTCTTTCTGTTGTCTTGATATGTTCATCCAGTTCCGGCACTTAAGCAGTCAGGAAGTAGGAACAGGCAAAAAGTGGACGTATAGTTGTCACGCCGTTGAAAAGGTTAACAGATATAACTACCTTCAGTACAATAATTAAAACGGGCAATAATAACCATCTGTCCTGTTTACATAACATCAATTATATTTAACATATTTATGAACAAAATGTAAAAAGACAACAATTAAATAAAAAAAATGATCCGGATTTTAATTCCTATTTTTAAACTACAATTTTAACGAGGTCCACATTAAAAACAACTATTACAAGCACAGTAAGCGTTAAATTCCGAAAATTTTAAATATGTATGCATGTACTGTGTGACTATTTACTCAATAAATGCAAATCACAGCAAATATAACCATGTGGTCATTCATACTGTTATAGAGGCACACACAAGATGAAATCGTTCGCATTGTCTTTCAAACTTTTTTTATTTATATTTTCAATCCTTCGTTACTGTTGATTAAATTTCATTTAGTACATTACAATATTATTAATTTGAAGAACATTTCAATGAGTAGGTGAGTCAATGCAGCTATTGACCAGCATTCAAATTGAAAGAAAACGTATGACGTTGGGCTGGTTTGGATGGTAAACTACAAGTTTTGTTGATCCAACAGTCGCTGAGGCAGCCATGATTAGTAGGAGCAATAGTATTGTACGACACCCATCATTTGAGTGGAAATAAGCAAACCTTGATTATTACCTTCTCACCAAAGTGAGAATGGAGTTACTGATTTATTTCCACAGCATTCAACTGTAAGAGGTCTACAACAGATCTCACATAAAACAAATATTCAGCGTTCATAGACCTCTGTTTGCATGTCAGAAACTGGTATGAGGAGACGGTGGAATTTTTTTTTTTAAGACAGATTATAAGAAAAAATTGTTTTTATCCTTTTCGCCATTTATCAGCTTACTAGCCGTTTGGGCACTATATCCAGTGTTAGTACAGGAGGAAATCCGAGACAAAATTCCATTGTTAGTTACTGGCATTTCAACCTTACTGCCATAACATTCTAATCTGCCATATCAACCATTTCGTATGGCAAAAACTTAAAGCGCCAAAACTAGCATAAACTAACCTACCTTAAGCGTGTTAAGTACTGTGGTGAACTAGACTGGCAAGTATTCTTTTCATGCTATTGTTACGACCCTCCTTCCACCGCTTACCCAGTTTCCACCACTGGTTACCAGCGGCTAGGGTCGTATGTACAGAAGCAGTAGATATCTCTCAAGAGTTGTTTGGATGCAATGAAACAGTTAATTTTCTTCTCAAATAATTGACGTTTATTTATGGAGAAATACTGTAAAATAATATGAACAAGACCAACACTGGTCACCACGACCACCACCTGTGTTATGATCACTGACTCGCACAACAGTGAGCAGTCCAGTTGAAAGACCATTTAATAAAACGAAAGTGCCGCGGAAAATTACAATATACTCGTACAATAATCGGAACACTTCCTCTGGTAGGTCAGCTAAGTAGGCTGTACCGAGTGTAGCCTACACTATGCGTGTCATGATGGGCTGTACTCAAAAGATTAGTGCCTGATGGTGTTTATGTCGCATTGCGATTTACGATATTTGTTCCAGTGAAAGTTTTCTTATTCCGAGATGTGAGGATAAACTTCTGGTGTCTACCACAGTAGATCACACCTCACTACCAAGACATGGAGTCTTCACGATGATTCACCAATAAAATTAGGATGTATTAGTCCTTGACTATGTTCCTCTTATCTAACATATTTCTCTCTGCTGGTAATTTACTTATGTCACAATAGGGTGTAGAAAGTAGCTCCTGGCACGTTATCTCTCCAAGGCATCCCTTTCTCTGGCTGGTTCTGAACCCCTGCCAACATCTCCACCTGCCTCTCACCACCACCACCACCACCACCATCTCTATAATTTGGACTAATTTCACGCATAAAACCATGAAGATGTAACGATATTATGATTACAATTTATGCTGCTGGAGGGAAAATATAGTTGTTTGTTCAAGCTATAAGTGAAACTATAAATGTTCCCAGTGCATGAATTAACCTTCACTTCCACGCACGTGTCACCCGCTCACTGTCACCTCACCTTCAAGCCACATGAGTCCTCCCTCTCATTTACGTATGGTTCTTGGAATGTTGTATGAGGCAGGGCAGGAGGCATTCGCAGCAATGCGGTGAACGTTTTAACTGAAGGTTGTTTAGCGCTGCCGAGGTTAGTCAGGAACCGGTTTTGTTGTGTAAATGTCCACCTCAGTTTTACCTTCTGGTAAGTCACCTCTTCCCCTGGACACAAGGAATTTCCTCTGAATAGGCAGTACGTACATTTTCTGGGGTCGTGGAGGATTGCCAAGATCCTCTCCTCCCCGTTCCTCAAGGACGGACAGACCCAGCCTAAAGGAATACGTAAATAATGTACCAAAGAGGCTCTCTCGGTAAGATGCAGGCTGGGGCCATAGGGTTGTAAGGCACTGTGATGCGCTATTATATATTTTTTATAACTAAGTATATATGTATGGTAGGATGCCTCACAGAAACACTGTGTTATTAATAATTCTGCATACGCCATGTCTTCACCAAATGAATGCATAAACTGTGTGAGTAACAAGTTATCACGTACAATCGTTCCAAAAACTATCTTTACGATTTTGTGTGACAATATGACACAGCGGACGAAGGAGTTGACAACCTTATAGAGTCTCGTGTTCATTTTGAAATTCATCGAATCTTTTGGAACGAGTGTATAAACAATGGTTCTTTTGGTCAAGAAGTAGTCGTATTATATTTATTATTATTATTATTATTATTATTAGTATTATTATTATTATTATTATTATTATTATTATTATTATTATTATTATTATTATTATTAGAGGAGACAGAGTGAATCAGAGTCACTTTCCTAACAACTGCAGCACCAGACGGCCATACCTGTACACTGT